CTTCTGGAGTATGAAAAGCAATAACAGCATGATAATAATTTAATAATTTTAATAAGGAGTTTTCTTGTTTTAATTTTTATATAATAAAATGATTAACTAATAATGCATTTCATTGTTTTAATTGTTTCTTTTCTAAACACTATGCAATGTATTTACAAACACTTGTTTGAACAGCATCCATTATTCGACAATTTATTACGTGTATGTAGTGTTTTAAAATACACTATATAGTGCTTACAGAAGAAATAGATAATACAAAACAAGGTTCCAAAACAATTAAAGTGAAGGTATGGTCGCTATGAATACCTTAAAGTGAAGGTATGGTCGCTATTCTGTTTATCAATGTGATGATAAACAGAAGCATAGTTATTCTGATTATAATGATAAAAGAAGTTATTATATTAAGTATAATATTTAAATAACGAATATAATCGTAATTTACTACTTAAAGTACTCAATGTCGTTACGTAGAAAGAAGCAACGATTAAACTGTACAGTACATATATCAATTTTAACAATTCAAATTATAAAAAGATATATGGAAAAGTTTCTTTTCGGTATTGAAATTCTTTTCTAAACTTTCCAGCTCGGTTCATCTTTTCATCAAGAAAGGAAATAGTGGCGAAGAGATGCAGACAGTCTCTTGACAGACGAGCCTTTGACCAAAAAAAGATAGGCACATTCTTACTCCACCAAGTGCATATGAAGTTCACTAACATCTTTCTTACCAATACTATTATAATATCCGATAAACCTAATTCTTTATTGTGTTTGTGTCATAACGCACCAAACACCGCAACTACATCCAATATTCGATGTTAGAAAGATCATGTTCGCAACACAACTGATAAACTTAAAACCTGGCTCTTTATTGATCCGTCTGCTTTACTGTAAATTTATATAACACAATGTTATATATTTATATAAAAATACAATAAAAATTATTTAACAAATTGATAAAATATTAACAATAGTAATCATGAATAATTGTTTACCAGAAATGTATTTTAATCAATAATTTTATATTAAAAACGTACAAGAACTGTACTGTACAGTACATAATATACAGAGATAGGCTTATAGCTATAACTGTTGAAAGAATTAAAGATTTTTATGAGATCGAACAGGCTTGACTTCGATAAGATACGATCAATATACTGTATCTAATAACAATTTTTGGACGGTCTGCCATAACAGAGATTGCATGATTGTTATATTTCTTTTTTTAGAATATCTCCCTACGAAGGCTTGAAATGACAATGTTTCTGGCTTGTGCTGTAAAAATTCTCGAGAGATTTTCTTTTCTAGTAAATTTTTCACAAAGTTAATCTTTGTTCATCTCATTTTTTATTATATCTACATAAATTCGAGGTGTGTCGAAACGTGTACGGTACACGTTTTTAACCTCAATTCTTATGAAGATTTTTATTTTGACAAGATAAACTTTACGATGATTCTAAAATTATGTTCGGTGGACAAAAATTGCAGTCTACTTTAGCGAGAAAACAATGCTTTTTTTTTTTTTTTATATAAACGATCATAATAAAATTTTTGATGCGTGCACGTTAGTACAGTAGCGTTCTTGTAAAGACGTTACAAATAAATAAAAAGTAACATTATTATTATTATTTAGATATTAATAATTATAATTATTATCGAAAGAATTTAAAAGTATTATAGTAACATAATAGCTGTAAAATTTTGTGATAATGATATTATTGTAATAGGGATTGGTTACAACGAGTTTGTGATTGTGATTTATTATTACATTATAACAATTGTTATGATATTGATTATGATCACTGTCTGATGCAAATAATAATAATTATTATTATTATTATTTTCATTTTTATTACATAACTATTATTTGCATCAGACAGTGCATCAGACATTTTATTATTATTATTGTAATTGTGTTATAATAACTGCAATCACAGTGATTATTTTAATATAAATAACTGTGATTGTTATAACGATTTGATTTATTAATTGATTATAAAAGTAATGCCTTAGGCAAGAAGTACAGTACCTTCTCCAAACACAATATAATATATCTTTAAAATTATACAAAAATTATTTGATAGAGATAATCATTGAAAATGTTTTGAATTTGATCATAGATAATGCAATTACTATGATAATGATTATGAAGTTGCGGTTGCTATATTAACGATTACGATTACTATGATTGGTTTGATGCTGATTAAAATTGTTGCGATAATTATGAAGAATATGATTATGGAGACAGTAATTATAAATATTATAACTGTTGTGATAATGATGCTGATTATTTAAATGATCGATCATAAAACAATGTGTTTACTATGATTATTATAGTCTAGTAGTATTAATTTTTACGATGATAAATGCACTGATTATGGTTATAATTAATGTAATAGTAGCTGTAACAATCATAATGTTGTTTAACACTTATTATAATGTATTATGATAATAAATATGATAATTATGATTGCCATTGCAGTCACATAGTAAGTATAATAAATGAAAAAAAAAAAAGTGCAGCTATGACAAAAATTAAAATTTGTAAAATTGAAATATTATACAGAAACTTTCTTTCACTGTAATTATTTTTTGTGTAATTATAATTGTTTGTAAAATGATAATTATTAATATAATTTTGATCTTATGACAATATCCGTAAGATTTTTATAAAAATAATTGTAATTATTTGCTATATATGGTTAAAATTTTATGATAATGAGGATGACAATGAATTTAGTTGTTATAACAGAGACTAAACTTAAACTAGTTCGTTAAATTTGTTTGTATTTATACTTAAATTATAAAAATAATTACTCTGCTGTAATTATTGTTACTCTGATCATAATTTTCGATAGTAATTATAAATGGCTTTAAAGAATAATTTCATATTTATATGCTTATTGATTTTCGTTTGCAACTGAGCTAGCCCGTGATTATATTTGATTATTATTATATTTCTGATGAGAGAATTATTGTAATTATAGTTACATTTTTTTAATAATGTAAATATTTTACTATAATGATAACAGTTAATCGGTATCTTAAAATTGCTGCAATTTTTATAATTAAAATTATTTTTTGATAATGATAATTGTAATTATTATTATTATATTGACTATTAATATTATCAAATTTAACAAAATGTAATTTTTATAGAAAGCGTGCGAATTTTAAATTAGTAATAATTCTGATTATTGTTATTGTCATTAAAATAAAATGGATTATTTTAACTTCTGGAGTATGAAAAGCAATAACAGCATGATAATAATTTAATAATTTTAATAAGGAGTTTTCTTGTTTTAATTTTTATATAATAAAATGATTAACTAATAATGCATTTCATTGTTTTAATTGTTTCTTTTCTAAACACTATGCAATGTATTTACAAACACTTGTTTGAACAGCATCCATTATTCGACAATTTATTACGTGTATGTAGTGTTTTAAAATACACTATATAGTGCTTACAGAAGAAATAGATAATACAAAACAAGGTTCCAAAACAATTAAAGTGAAGGTATGGTCGCTATGAATACCTTAAAGTGAAGGTATGGTCGCTATTCTGTTTATCAATGTGATGATAAACAGAAGCATAGTTATTCTGATTATAATGATAAAAGAAGTTATTATATTAAGTATAATATTTAAATAACGAATATAATCGTAATTTACTACTTAAAGTACTCAATGTCGTTACGTAGAAAGAAGCAACGATTAAACTGTACAGTACATATATCAATTTTAACAATTCAAATTATAAAAAGATATATGGAAAAGTTTCTTTTCGGTATTGAAATTCTTTTCTAAACTTTCCAGCTCGGTTCATCTTTTCATCAAGAAAGGAAATAGTGGCGAAGAGATGCAGACAGTCTCTTGACAGACGAGCCTTTGACCAAAAAAGATAGGCACATTCTTACTCCACCAAGTGCATATGAAGTTCACTAACATCTTTCTTACCAATACTATTATAATATCCGATAAACCTAATTCTTTATTGTGTTTGTGTCATAACGCACCAAACACCGCAACTACATCCAATATTCGATGTTAGAAAGATCATGTTCGCAACACAACTGATAAACTTAAAACCTGGCTCTTTATTGATCCGTCTGCTTTACTGTAAATTTATATAACACAATGTTATATATTTATATAAAAATACAATAAAAATTATTATTTACATAAATATATATATACATATATTTTAAATTTACGAAAACAAGAAAGATTTTTTTTCTTTAAATGAGTAAATTATAAATAAATCATTATATAAAATTACTAATGATATAAATAAATTAAAATTAAGAATAATATTTCTAAAAATAAATTTTACTTGAATAAAAGCGTATTTTTAAATAAAATATTAAATTATTACACGAAATCCGATAGTTTGAAATTGGTTTTTTTTTGTCTAATCTTTCAAACCAACAAAAATTTCCAGACATTTTGTAAACAACTCGTCTTTATATGTTTCCCCTACGGTTTAATCTACGAAATGAAACGTATTCGTAATGTATTAACGAATTTAATTTCACGGATTTATCGTTGATTTTTCTATAAGTTATAGGCCTATACAGGACACTCGTCCCCTATTTAGTCTGTTAAATCGAGGGTTTACTGTATTTTTATTACATTTATTTGTTTTTTTGTAAAATTATAATTTTCATTTCCATATTTAACAGATTATTGAAATTCCTATTCGAATATTGTAAGATTTTTTTTTTTTTCTTTNATATACAGTATATACAAACTTATCAACTCTCTTGACTTTCTTGTAAAGTATTAGTTACGGTTTATAAGTACTTAACAAGTAATTAATGTTGAATTCTTCATAAAAATCTGCAATTTTTTTTTTAATTTTTTGTTATTCCAACGAATTAAAATTAAATCTGAACAAGTTATAAATTAATACCTTTTTAAAGATCATTTTTATATTATTTTTTTAAAAAATAAAAGCATCAGTTTCTTGAATAATTTTTTAAAAAATTGTTTCTTACTTTCTGAGTAAAGGAACAGACGGATGAATTCCATTCAACGTCGTTTTTTGGAAAAAAATTTCAAAAATTTCAGTGAATAAATATTCTTAGAATTACGTAAGACATTATTTTATATAAAATAATTTTATTTATAATTAAAAGAATTCAAATTAAACACTAAAATAGCAAGTGATATGAAATGATTTTTCTAAGTAAGATAAAGATTGATACGGAGAAATATAGGCCTATATAATAGTTCTAGGTAACAATGCTGGTATTTTAATCATATATTTGTCAAAAAAAATCAGCATTAATGAAGATAAATCTGTAAAATCCGACATCAAATTTGATGGAAGAGAAAAATGCCACCCAATCGATTCGACAAGTGTCGTATCACTGCTCGAAATTAATCGTTGGTTCTAGTACATTTACACAAAACGCATTGTCGACTTCGGTCGACCTTTCATCATCTGTCACAACAATAATATAAGCTAAGAAAGATATATTAATTAAATTAACAAAGAAAATAGAAAAATGTTACTACAGTATCATGTCCGTGACTTAAAAGCTGGTATCATAATTAGCTTGTCTTGCATTCCTGTAAATGTTTTGACATTTATATAAACTAAGGAAATTGTATTCCTTTATCTGAAAAACTTCGTAAACCAAGCTAATATTTTTCTAAAGAAGCATTTTTCTTTATATAAAGTTTATAATCTTTCAAGTAGAATAATATAAAAAAAAAAAAAATCTAAGTTCATCTGCACAATTTACAGCTGAGACTAGCAGAAAAAAAATAGCTTAAAAAATGCTGATAAAGTGGGAGTTTTGCACATAAAAAATACCTTACACTATTTATAACTTTGCCCATTGGTATAGAAAGTTATTTTTTTTTTTTTAAATTCATTTAAACATTGGCCACATGCCAAGAGATATCATTGAATTTCTACTTTTATTAACTGTCCTTTACGGTTTTTCTTGCATTAAGGAGAGATTTAGGCAACAGAAATATATTTAGAGAATTCCAGATATAAAACAGGTGGTCGTATTTAAAAAATAAATTGATAATTATTCGTTTATTAATATAAATTGTGAACTATAGCTTATTTGTTTTCTATAAAAGTGATGTTTTTAATAAGAAATCCGTAAACATAACCATAAATATCACTTCTTCTACACCATCTCCTGTGTGTCTCTCGAAACAAGATTAATATCCACTTGGGATGGTAACAAAGCAGTTCTGGCTCTTCCCTCTAACCGAAAGTCGATTAATTCAGAAGATTAAGTTAAAGTAAAGTTAGTGAAAGCATTTTACTAGCATTCGCATTTTTACACGAAAGATAAATTCCTGTTTTTCTCGCCCCCTCTTTCTCATAACTTAGACTTTTTCGCATGAAAAGAATCAAAATCTCTCGATTTTTCCATTCGTTTGATTCGATCTTTCAGCGTTAAAAAATTTTTATTTTGTAAAAAAACAAAATAAATTTTATATATTGTGTACAGTACATTTATAACAATTTCATACACCAAAATATCCACATAAAGATTAATATTTTACTAGTAACTAAAGAAAAGCAATATTAGCTTGTCATCAGTGTATCTTGACATTCCTTTCTCCCTTCGATCTAGAATTTTTTTTTTTAATATAAAATAAGTAAGAGAAAGACAGGTGTCGCCTAGAAAACTGCTATTCAATACTTTATCACTATCTTCTATCCTTTTTTAATATAGAGAGGAATATATCAATAAGCCATCGTGTGAAAGCTGTTATCGAGTTGCTCATATTTTTCCACCTGTTTTTTTTTTTCTTTTTTTTCTTTTAACTTATAACTGTTTATCTAATAAACTTCTTTCGACATTTTTATAAACTGTATATTTGTTTTATTAAATATAACATATGTTTATTTTATGTTAAAATGGGATGATAAAATGGAGACGATTGCCGTTTCTTAAAGAGATGCCGAGTAAAAGTAACAAAACTTCATTAATCGACTCGAAGCCTGGCAGAAGGACTAAACCATTAGCAAACTGTTTGGAGGGTATAGAAGCCCCAGGCAGAGGATTTCTTGGAAATGGCAAGAGAAAACTGAACTGTACGATTGAAGGTGTTATTGGCGGGATGCCAGAACGAATTTTTGGAAATTTGCCAAAGTTGACAAAACGATCCGGTTCCTTACTTCCACGTGTGAACTTCACAATAGCAATCTTGGTCACTTCTCATTTGCAGACGTTTGCATGCTGTTACAGTCTCCTGTATAAAGCGTTGCTTACATTCTTTAATCTTAAATAAATGATGAAGGTATTTTTCTTTTACACGAAATGCTAGAGAATTGATCAATTTTGTGAAAGATTTGAAAAAAAAATGATTGCAAAAGAAAAATTTTTTTAATTACTAATACATGTGTGTGACTGTTAAATTCCCAAGTAAGCTGGCAAGTCGAATATAAAAATGTCGTCTTTAAGTGTTCCATCAGTCGATGTAGATTATTGATTGGAAAAAAATATACATGGACGGATGAATTTATTCGATATTCATATGATGAATATCGAATTCGTATTTTACGAGTCGTTAAGGTAAAGTAGAATGTTTAAATTCATTCAAAACGCTAGTTTTCCTTTGTTAAAACTACAAAAAAAAAAAAAAAAATGTTAGATTGAAAGCTTTAATAGTTGTTAAACACTAAAATAGCAAGTGATATGAAATGATTTTTCTAAGTAAGATAAAGATTGATACGGAGAAATATAGGCCTATATAATAGTTCTAGGTAACAATGCTGGTATTTTAATCATATATTTGTCAAAAAAAATCAGCATTAATGAAGATAAATCTGTAAAATCCGACATCAAATTTGATGGAAGAGAAAAATGCCACCCAATCGATTCGACAAGTGTCGTATCACTGCTCGAAATTAATCGTTGGTTCTAGTACATTTACACAAAACGCATTGTCGACTTCGGTCGACCTTTCATCATCTGTCACAACAATAATATAAGCTAAGAAAGATATATTAATTAAATTAACAAAGAAAATAGAAAAATGTTACTACAGTATCATGTCCGTGACTTAAAAGCTGGTATCATAATTAGCTTGTCTTGCATTCCTGTAAATGTTTTGACATTTATATAAACTAAGGAAATTGTATTCCTTTATCTGAAAAACTTCGTAAACCAAGCTAATATTTTTCTAAAGAAGCATTTTTCTTTATATAAAGTTTATAATCTTTCAAGTAGAATAATATAAAAAAAAAAAAAATCTAAGTTCATCTGCACAATTTACAGCTGAGACTAGCAGAAAAAAAATAGCTTAAAAAATGCTGATAAAGTGGGAGTTTTGCACATAAAAAATACCTTACACTATTTATAACTTTGCCCATTGGTATAGAAAGTTATTTTTTTTTTTTTAAATTCATTTAAACATTGGCCACATGCC